AAGACCCAGCCTTCTTTCGAATGTAGTTGCTTTCAGATGCGGCTTATTCGGATTAAATTTTTTTTCAAATGATACATCTTTCCATTTAGCAACAAAATTCGATCAATAACCGGTAAATGCAATAATGTGAAGGATCCGATGCAAGGAGCTGCAGTGACGCCTGTTCGCCGACTTCTTGGAAAAGCCAGCTATGCTGATGGTGGGTCATAAAAGGTGTCGTAAAAGGAATACACAGTGGAGGTTTCGACATGAATCCACCTCTTATGGGGTTGCGCCATGCATTCCACTCTAAATCGGATTCATAGCGACATTTGAATGTGATATGGTTCACACAGTGGAACTGCTTTGGTCTATCATATACAGTAGCGGTCAAAAGTTTGGAAACTTTTTTATTTTTGATCTAGCGCGGCCGACACATAACGAAATTGTCTCAAATTTAGATATTACATACAAAATCAAGTCCAGAATACGATGGAAAGAATAATTTCCAAAAATCTGTACATCATTTTCAAATAAGATTTTTTTCAAGTAATGGCGCGTCAAAAGTTTGGAAACTTTTTGTTTCCCTCATCATTATGATTCCTACTCTTCAATGTTTACTTGTTTCTGTTAATTTTAGTTCAACCATTTGAGCAATGTGTAATTTCAAAATGAAATTCATTTGCAAAGGAAGCAGTTTTTCCATGGGGGTCCTTTTTTAAACCCTACAATCCGGAATACGAAATTGAAACTGTTTCTTAGTAGTTCAGTCTCTACGAAAGCAATATTATCGAATGTTTCTAGCGTTATTGGAGTCGAGTAAGCATAAGAAGAATGATCATTCACAAAAAAGTATCTTCACAAGAAAATTGGCCCTCCTCAAATACTTCGAAGGGTGGTTGGCACGCCCGTACCCCCGATATCTCCAACTAAGGGACGACTTTTTCTGGCTTTCTCCTAATCATATGAAAGTCAAGTGCAGCCCAACATCGGCCGCGAGATTTGCCGTGAAGCGATGATATTCCAACAAGAAGCCATTTGTTAAGCTTTAATAGCAGGATGGTCCAATTGACTTCCGCACAGCTAACGGTTAACATGGACCGAAGGCGAGAAGGTAAAAGTTTTGTCCTCAGCGACGAATGGATTTCCATCTAACTAAAATGATGTTGCTAGTTCCTGTAAAGTGTTCTATAAACAGGAAACCTAATTCTAGCTACCAGACTCCAACAGCCAGAAATAGTGGTAAGTGCGGTAATGGATTTGACATGAGTCCGACCATTCGCTGGCGATTCACAGTTTCCCGCTGATATCGGAGCCGAAATGTGGCCGTTGGCCCTAAATACATAGCCATAGTCTTTGTAGAAATTTTTTTACACGCTTCGCCTTGCGATGTCAGAACGGATTCTGAGAAAGAAGCGAGTTTTCTTAATCGGCCGAAGTTCGACTGCATGCAGGCGCCTACTCCTCACTGCCGCATTCCGAAAGCCAGAAAGAAGCTGCTTTATGAGCGCCGGACAGTCAAGATCTTAAGTCTAATTGAGTTCTACATCTTACGGAAAAGCTGGCATGTCGCTTGACTCACATTCCAGTCAAGAATCCCACCAAACAATGCGATTTAGTTCACAGTGTGTAGGGTTCGACTTAAAAGTCCTAAATTATTTTATAGTAATCAGTCAATTAAAACGACACCGACGTACTAATTCACAGCTACTTTATCGAATACTAATTCATCATGTAGATGAGAGAGTTATTTTGCCGAATTCGCTTTGGAATTGAGAAGTTTCCAAACTTTTGACGCGCCACTTCTTATAAAAATTCGTATTTCTCGGAAGCGAATCTCGTTTTCGAAAAATCATGTTGCTCATCGTAATCTACACTTGATTCTGTATATAATATGTGAATTCGGGACAATTTCATTGTCTCTACTGGCTACACCAGATCAAAATAAAAAAGTTTCCAAACTTTTGACCGCTACTGTATATATACTGTAGAATGATGTTTAAAACTCAGAATAGATATAGAAAGCCTTGGCCTAGGCAAAAAAGATTACGGATTGGACTCAACAATATGTTCTTGTCAGCGTCATGATGACCTTGTCCTTGTCCCTCTATTGTATAATAAAGCGGAATTTTTGGTGAGGGAGTGGCAAGAAACCGTCCTCTAAAGCTTCGATTCAATAATAGATCATGAAATTGTATGAAGTACTGATAAAATGTGAATACGGCTGCCCATTTGGCAATCGTGCACTATGTTTTTCTATACTCCTAGTAAGCTTCGTGGATCATTGTAGGTTTCAATGCTATGCGAACCAAAGGCGTTAAAGGAACCGCTCTTCCATCGACCAGGGAAATTTCGAATAAGCTTCATCAAGAGGTACGATGTATTCATAAATTTTGTAGATACATGAAGTGTTTTCATGGAGGCTTTCATCAGGCACCGGGGCTCTTTATGGAGACCGGTGAATTTCGGCTGCTTTTTGTCATTTCACAGAACTCCATTGTTATAATAGCTTCAAAAGAGAACCTAAGATGATCTTTCAGTGAGCACCCTCAGCGTTTTGACTCTCCAAATGCATTTCCTATGGCAGTTTCAATTTGGGTACTGTTGCTCACGATATCATTTTCATGCCCTCGTCTGTCGGTCAGTTGATATGAATGGCTTCCCATCTTGATATGCTAACAATCTCGAACTGTCACGGAATTTGACTACAGTAGCCTCGTTGTGGCATTCATTTCCGAGTTTCTAGGTCCACTCGGCAAAGCTCTGGACTGCTCGTCGTGTAATTCACCATCATTGAGCGAGAATTGCGCTCCGATCCCAGTGCCCGCTGATGATCCCTATTTCAAGCCTATTGCTGGTGAAAGGTAATTCAATTGGTTTATTTCAGAAGTGGCACTAATCGGAAGATAAATGTTGAACATGGCCTCCAAAAATCAAAATAATCTGCAAAAATCTGGGAAGCTCCTGTATCGTGCAGAGTTATGCATTAGGTAGGAACAGGGATTTTATCCGTATGAGTTTATGAGGCTATCTTGAAGCAACAGTACAGCAGGGTTTTGATCATTCGATTCTATTTGAGTGGAAGGATCCACTAGCCCTAGTCAAATACATAAGAGTCCAGATGAACGGAAAAACTCACCTGAAAGTAGCTATTAGGAAGGGAAGTCGAATGCTTCTCGCAGTAGGCGGGCAACTGCTCCGGTGGAATTCTTGCTGGCAGCGAACCAGCCAGCAGTGCATGCCAATTCAGACAACTCGTCCGACCGCATCTCCCCTTATTCCAAAGAGGAAGAGGGAAACCCCTCCTATTAGCAGTCAACTCGTCATCTACAACTTCATTGCCCGACCTTTTCTTACCCATTTCTCTTCTGGAAATTTGTGTCTTCGGGGATAATGGCAATTTATGGAAAGAAAAGCGAAATGTGGACTCATCCAGGTGTGTCAATACTTTTATTCAATCGTAGGGATGTCCCTGTCATTCTAATCATTTTTTTTTCAATGTTATACGGTCAAAGGGCTACATGCATAGCCTCTTAGATTGCTGCTACCTGCACTTTCTATTTTTTGCCGTATCTGTTCTTCTTTGACGAATTACTTTGATAACAAATTAATAGTGAAATATCTGAAATGTAGGGTAGTATGTAGGAGTAACGATTTGAGGCATCTCTAAATGACTTTTCCTGTAGGAGGGATCGCCGTCAGGCCGGGTCAATGGAGAGTCGCCGCGGCGACAGGAACTCGAAAGAGGGCGGTCGTGGCGGAAAAAAGAATTCAAGGGAGGAGAAGCCGAAAAGTAAAGCTTCCAGATGCCTTCGACTCACACGTGCTCTGAATGCTCAAAAAGGCCTTGGAGTGAGGACACAAATCAATCAGGTATTCGACTTTGATCACTTTAGACTTCCATTAGAGGACATCTGGGATATGGGCCAATATTTTTTGGACACACTGATGGAGAGGGTGTTTCAAACTTCTCAGGGTGCATTTTGATAATCCCACTGACGAATGAGAAAGGCTGAGGCTATCAAAAGGGTTCCGGTGTAGGTCTCTGGGCGGTATCGAGACCACTGCCTATTCGGAGCGCGACGACTCATCGTCTCGCCCGTCAGAGGTACCTGTTGGCGCTTACTCGTTTTCGAGATTTTACTGAACCCCTTTTCAAAGGGGAAGGAATCAATACAACCCTCTACGCCCATTACCACTTTCTTTTGATGACTGTTTGTTTATTTCTTCCAAAAATTCAGAACACACACTTCCTTGACCTGTCAGCAGTATACGGTTCTGAAGAATGTGAAGGAGCATCAGTGCGATCCTTCGTCAATGGAGAACTAAGGACATATGTACATAGTGGAGACGTTCTGCCGCCACAGAATAAGAATGTATGTTTTTTCGGCTTCCTTTAACGCCTTTGTTTTTTGCCTCGATAGGTGCGGCCGGTACGGCCATAACTGAGCCCCACTTGAAGGGCCATGTACTATTCTTCCCCAGGAGCAGTGACCTCCCTCCTTGACGCTATCCTCCCTCAGTCTATGGGAGTGAGAGACAGATTCTTGCTACGGGACCCACCCTGGATTGGTTGGTGCTGTATTGGATCTCTGCCGTTGGAGCGCTATATCTTCCAAGAGGCGCTGCTAAGTGTGACCGTACCCTTAAGGTTTATGAAGACGTGCCTTACGAAAGAGGCTCGAGATTTCTTCCAAACCAGTGTTGATTTCATCGGAAGTGTAGGTCATGCAAACATTTTGTTCGAACTGAATTCCTCTATATTACATTTTTAGGACTCGAACTGCCTGTCAAAAGCACCGTACTACTGTTTTACCACTGGTGACTTCCGAAATTCCCTACATCCCGGACTTGTCCCATTACACACGGTCTACATCAAAGAACACAATCGAATCGCTGCTCTGTTCAAGCGAAGCAACCCATCGTGGAATGATGAGCAGACTTTCCAGGTGAAAAGCTCGATAGCATTATTTGATAAGTTTTGAGCTGATCAGGAGCATTAGTCACATATACTGATAACAAATGGTACGAGTTTGCCCATTTTTGAGAGCACTAGGGTGCAATAGTGGAAACGAATTCGCCTTGGGACTCTGGTTGCTTCTCATGGCAG